CCTCCATCCTCCATCCTCCATCCCTCCATCCCTCTATCCCTCCATCCTCCATCCTCCATCTTCCATCCCTCCATCCTCCATCCTCCATCCCTCCATCCTCCATCCTCCATCCCTCCATCTCTCCAGCCTCCATCCTCCATCCTCCATCCTCCATCCCTCCATCCTCCATCCTCCATCCCTCCATCTCTCCATCCCTCCGTCCTCCATCCCTCCATCCTCCATCCTCCATCCTCCATCCCTCCATCCCTCCATCCCTCCATCCTCCATCTTCCATCCTCCATCCTCCATCCCTCCTCTCCATAGTCAGTCATCCTTAGCTCTCAACATTAAAGGTAAGTTCTAGTGTGTATACAAATTTTCATTTTTTGCTGTACATTTCCTTTTTGTTAAATTTTCATTTACATTTCCTGTCCTTTTTGTTGTTAAAGTATTTATAGATTAAACAGTACATTAGACATGTATTACAGAGAAGAAAGGTTAAAACAGAGAATCATTTGGAGTCTGGAACTGATTCATTCAATTTACATTATTTCTAGTGTGAAAAAAATCATTCGGTTTCGAAAGAAATCACTTCTCTAACAGCCTTCAGAGCAAATTAAGTTTGAGAACTGAGGTTCCACTCTATTTCAATTCCAACCTGTAGCTCAGGTTCAGCAGCAAGTACTGCACAGTCCCTTTAATGAGAGAAGTTAATGTTGAAATTGGGTAAGGATTCAATGAGTCTTTTGCAAGAAGTGGTTTTCCTTTTGCAGTTCCTTACAAACAAATATTAAAGGGATAATCAGTTTCTCTGCAGCTGACTTCCTTGTTCTCAGACAATCAGCCATGGCTGCCTTAGTGTCCCGGGCAAAGAAGACAAACTGGCCCAGAGTGCGCCTTCCATTGCTGGCACCAGCAGAACTGCTTGGTGGGGAAGAACTTAAACCCCCTCTCTGCCACATTATGTTNTCTCAACCCCCCTCTCTGCCACTTCGCTTAACCTCTCTGTGCCTCAGTTTCCTCATTTGTAATAGTCACATTACAGGCTCGTTGTGAGGGTTACATGTATGACACATGCAATGTGGTGAACTCAGGCCCACTCAGGGTGCGCACTCGCTGATGAAAGCGGTTGTTGATAGACACTTGGCAGAGCCCACNTTGTTGATAAACACTTGGCAGAGCCCACGGGATCACATGCGATGCATCATTAACTGCTCTGTGCTTCCCTCCAGGAGGGGCAGGTGAGGAGGAGCTGCAGGTGATTCAGCCTCAGGAGTCAGTGTCTGTCGCAGCCGGAGAGACGGCCACTCTGAGATGCACCGCAACCTCCATATACCCCGTGGGGCCTTTCCAGTGGTTCAGAGGGACAGGGCCAGGCCGGGAGTTAATCTACAATTTCAGAGACAGCAGCCGCTTCCCCCGAGTAACAACGGTTGCAGATTCCACGCAGAGAGACAACCTGGACTTTTCCATCCGCATCAGTAACATCACCCCAGCAGATGCGGGGACCTACTACTGTGTGAAGTTCCGGAGAGGAGCCAATGACACGGAACTCAAGTCTGGAGGCGGCACCCAGCTCACCGTGAGTGGTGAGTACAGTGTGGGATTCCGTGTCCCTGGCATGTGACAACAGTCAATAAAGATGCCCTCAGTTCTGTGAGCAGCAGCTAGGAATCAGTGCGGTGGTGGGTGCTTGTAGTCTTGATCTGATTCATGGGCAGACTTCACCCCTTCTGCAGATCAAGGAAACTCCATTCTCACCCCTCCAACGGGAAGAAATCCATCCAGGGCACAGAGAGGGAGGACGTGGTTATTTTGTCCTCAGAAACATCACATGGGAAGAATTCTTAAGAGGCACAGACTCACTCTTTACTCTGGCAGCCCTGGTGGGAGAAGATGCCCAGAGGTTGAAAAGTCCCTGTGGGTCTGTCCAGAAATTCCTCCTATGATCTAGGGCCCAACTCACACAGTCGCTGAAGTGTCTGAGCATGGCTGGGTGGCCTCAGAATGTCTCTCACCCTGGGCAGAGGTTGCCAAGTGGGCGACATTCCAGGATTCAGGATCCTGAGCATCTTGAGATAGCAAAAGTGCTCATTTAGAGTTTTCTGCAAGATGCTCAGGATCCCGAACCCTGGAATATCATCACACAGGGACCTAGTTCATTTAGCCCAACCCCCCCATTGGACAGGTGAAAGCCTGAGGCTGAGAACTGACAGGGTTCTTGCCCACGGTCACATGGCCAGTGACTGAGGGGATCGTTCCAGAACCTGATCTGACTCCAGGTCAGCTCCGTCCTGCCCTGTAATAGGAACCGCTTTCCATGGAAAATCCTGGTGCATTGTAGGCTCAGAATAAAAGCTCATTACACTGATCCATTGAACAGGGAGTGAGCATTTCTCCTTTTCATTGGCTTCCCTAAAATTCAGATGCTTCTCACATTCAGATCCTGAGACCCAAGGTGGTTGGGAACTTCTTCCACCTTCAGCCACATCGCCCCAAATCAAGCATCCATGTCAGCGCCTAGGGCTGCCCCTCGTGCAACAGCTGCCTCACCCCCCAGCGTGTGGAGAGAGCATCGTTCACTGACCACCCCATCACCTGCACATCACACATAGGAAGTGAAAGCTCAGAAGGAAGTGACTTGCTCAAGGTCACATTGCTAGCAGAGGAGTCCAGGCACCTCAGTGCCATCTGTTTCTGGGGGAAGCAAGGACTTCTGGAACCGTGTCTGCAGGGAGCAGAACAGAAGGCAGGGTGGATGGAGAGACCATGCTAAGGGCAAACAACCAGAGGTAGGCAGGCTCAGGGCTGGGGGGCTGCAAAGCGGGTTTGGGAGCCTTGTGATACAACGAAACCTCAAGGGAGGCTGGCGGCACCATGCACTCCAGCCTTCTTGGGACCATCTGCATCCGCCCAACATCCCTGGAACTGCCCCAAGTTCCTGGTTGCCTGCAAGCAATATGTCCCCAGACTCACTTTCCAGGGCAAAGTGAGCCCTATTGTGGAGCCACCTGCTTACACCCACCAAGGGAGTGTTGGGACAGGAACCCATGTCACCCCTGGACTCCCATGCTGGGCACTGTGTCCTGCATGTGTCTGGCACAGAATTCTGCTTGGTTATGGCCACCCATACCTGTGAAGCATCCGCACCACAACAGGAAGATGCAGCCAGGGGACAGGGCTGGAAGAGAGGCGGAGACGAGGGAGCCCATCTCAGGAGCGCTGATGGAAGAAGAGCTGACTTTCTACTCTGCCTGTTTTCTTGAACCCTATTTTTTGCCAAAGGTAAGAACAAAACCAGACAGGCGCCACAGATGCTGAAGCACATCCCGCTGAGGCCTACGTGCACGTGGCCAGGGGTAGACAGCAGCCACACAAATGCGCCGAGGTCTGCAGGAGCCCCCTCCTGAGAGCTCGGGTGAGACCCTGTTGAGACAGCAGGGGCGGCTCCTGGCTGTGACCGAATGATACATTCTTGGAATAAGCTATCTTTTCTCAGAAGGGACTGGATTAGGAAAACACTGACGCAAAAGCAGCTGCACACCGATTCCAGACCGGCTCTATGGCCAGCCGAATGCCCAAGGTGTGTCTGGCCGTGCGTGTTGGGGGGAGGGAGTGTTGCGGGCAAGAGTGTTTAAACCCTGGAAATGTCAGGGGAGCGCAGGCGCTACCACCTTCTAGGTTAAAGATGCATCTCCCTTACAATAGAAAATAAATTTTAAAAGTTTTGGCAAATCTGAGATTTTTACAGCAAACCCACTAAAATGGAAGGTCCATGAGACAAGGAAGCCTCATCTCCGTTTCATTCTCAGAATCTTAGGATGGTGTGGCCCATGGGATGCACGTGACTACTTGTTAAACAAATGAAGAGACCACAGAAGAATCCAAATTGCCAACCAAAATGAAGAACCAGAAAGTCAAGAACCTGAGAACGTGTAATGGACACAGAAGCACCCCAAGCAACAACATGGGCATTATTCCTGTCTCTGCAGACTGAGGATGGGGGTGCATTTCCTAGAGGGCACTCGGGCCCCAAGTGAGCAAGAGTTTATATTCTAGACTCACTTGTCAGGAGCCATTCTTTCATTTATTGCTAGAGGTTCCCCAGGCCTGGGCACTCAGGGGTGACTCCTCCCTACATTGAAGTCAAGGATGTAGACAGAAAGGGGGAAGGCAGTGGTCAGTGTAAGGTCTTTGAAGGTGGGCCCATGCTCTACTGATGGACATGAAAGTTTGGGGACCACGGGAAATACCCTGGGACACAGTGGGAAGGAAGAAGACAGCCCTTTCATTTCTCTCAGCCTCAGCCTTGTCATCTATAAAATTGTGAAAATCATGAACTTTTAAGACAGTTGAAAGTATTTGAGGTTCTCTGTCTGAATCACCCAGCGTAGAGGAGAACCCCCAAATCAATGTATTATATAAAGATTGTAACCCGGTTCACTTTGCTGGGCCTCAGCTTCACCACCTGCAGGAAGTGCGTTATCCCATCAACCTTCGCAGGAGGGTATGAGGATACAGTGACCCTGCTGGGAGAGCAGACCCTCAGTGACCATGGTGCTGTCATCCCAGATCTTGGCCACCTGTTTCCTTGGATTCCTCAGTTTCCCCATCTGTGAAGTGGGGATGGGGTTGTGAGGATAGGAGAGGATGTCTAGGAAGCCCGAGATGTGGTGGTTCAGGGTGTTACTGAGCGTCAGTGCCCAGTGGTTAGACATAGGCCAGCGCCCTGCATGGCCCAGCTCTGCCACCTCCTGGCTCTTCTGTTGAAAAGGCCCCCAGGCCCTGTCTCCACCCTGGGAATTCTGATTTAACCGCTCAATGTGGACCTGGCAGCTGAATATTTTTAACTACCCAGAAGATGCTAATGCAGAGCCAGGCAGAGAGCCCTGAGCTAGATGTTCTCCAAGGTCACAGAGGAAACCTTGTAATTTCCCCCCTGACAACGGTGGCTCCCCCTGCTGCTGGAGCTGAGAGAACAGCACCTTTAGGGGCACAAGTGCTTCAGAATAGCATGTGCCAGTGACAGCTCATCAGGGGCCCAAGAGAGTGAGCCCTAGGGGAGTGGCAGGGACACCCTCCCACGAGCAGGCCTGGGCTGAGAGTGGCCCCTGCCCTCTCCGCCCCGAGGAGGGGCAGCCCAGACACCCTGTTCAGATCCCAGCTCCCTTGCTGGGGACTCCTTCCCATCTCTAAACATGTGTGTGTCTAAACAGGTGCTAGAATTTCCACAATACTCACTGCTCAGCCCCAGAGCCTTTCCTGCCCCCAAACACCAAAATATCACTAATAAAATCTGCACTCCTTTTATTCAAAATGCTTCCATCTTCTGTAATGAGCTAATATGCTACAAAACGCCTGAGATCTTGTGTGTGTGTTTGGAAAACCTGTTGGCCTAATTTATTTCCTGAGGGGATCATTTAAAAAAAGAGGGAGATGACTATCAATTGGTAGTTTCAAGCACTTTTTAAAAAATTGATGGCCAATAGGCATATGAAAAAATGCTCAACGTCACTAATCATCAGAGAAATGCAAATTAAAACCGCAGTGAGATATGACTTCACACCTGTCAGAATGGCACCATCAACAAATCAACAAACTAGTGCTGGCGAGGGTGTGGAGAAAGGGGAACCCTAATGCAATGTTGGTGGAAATGCAGGCTGGTATAGCTACTGTGGAAAACAGTATGGAGTTTCCTCAAAAAATTAAAAATGGAACTGCCATTCGACCTAGTGATCTCACTTCTGGGACTACATCCTGAGAATTCTGAAACACCAGCCAGAAAGAATATATGCGCCCCTATGTTCCTAGCAGCGTTACTTATAACAGCCACGATCTGGAAACAACCCAAGTGCCCATCAGTAGATGAGTGGATAAGAAAATGTGGCACATTCACACCATGGAATACTGTGCAGCTGTAGAAAACAAGGCTCTCTTACCCTTTGGGACAGCTGGATGGACCTGGAGAGTATTATGCTAAGTGAAATAAGCCAGGCAGAGAAAGACAAATACTATATGATCTTACTTATATGTGGACCCTAATGTACAAAATAAACTGAGGAACAAGATAGAAACAGAGATATGGATACACGGAGGAGACTGACAGCTGTCAGAGGGGACGGGGGAGGGGAGAAGATGAAGGGATTAGCCAAAGAACATACATACATGCATAACCCATAGACACACACAACAGCATGGTGATGGCCAGAGGGAAGGGGGGGGTCAGAGGCTGGGTGGAGGTGAGCAAATGGAAGGGGTATGGGGGCGTCTGTAATAAGTGTCAACAATAAACATCAAGTTAAAATTGAGGTATAACTGACATATAACATAATATTAGTTTCACATGTACAACATAATGATTTGATATTATATATTATGTGAAATGATCACCACATAAGTATAGTTAATAGTTGTTACCATAAATAGTTATAAACATCTTTTTTCTGTGATGAGCACTTTTAAGATCTACTCTCTTAGCACCTTTCAAATAGGTTCTATAGTATTAGTAACTGTAGTTGCCATACTTTACATTACATCCCCATGAGTTCTTTGTATTATAACTGGAAGTTTGTACTTTTGAACCTCTTTACTAATTTCAACCCACCCCACACCTCCTTCTGGCAACCACTAATGATCCATTCCCTGTATCTATCAGTTTGAATGTGTATTTTTTGTATTATACATATAAGTGAAATTATAAGGTATTTGCCTCTTTCTCTGACTTATTTCACGTAGCACAGTGACCTCAAGGTCCACCCGTGCTGTTGAAAACAGTAAGATTTCATATTTTCATGGCTGAATAATATCCCATTGCATATGTGTACAGCACATTTTCTTTATGCATTCATCCATCGGTAGGCATTTAGGTTGTTTTCATATCGTGGCTGTTGTAAATAATGCTGCAGTGAGCATAGGGACGCGTGCATCTCTTTGAGTTCCGTTCCTGTTTTTGTTAGAAAATACCCAGAAGTGGAATTGCTCCATCATATGGTAGTTCTATGTTTAATTTTTTGAGAAACCTTCATGCGGTTTCCCTAGGGCTGTACCAACCTACATTTCCCCCAACAGTAGCGCCTTTTCTGGGCACCCTCTTTGAACTCCTGCTGTTTCTTGTCCTTTGGTAACAGCCAACCTAACAGTGCGAGGTTTCAGCGCTCCTGGAGGTCCCAGCTCATTGCGCTTTCACTTACATTTTCCTGATGATCAGTGATATTGAGCATCTTTTCATGTACCTGTTGGCCAGCGGTATGTCATCTTAGGAAAAATGTCTATTCGTATCTTCTGCCCACTTTTTATTAGATCATTTGGGTTTTTCTTTTTTTGCTATTTAGTTGTATAACTTCTTTATATATTTTGGATATTAACCTGTTATCAGATATGTGATTTGCAAATATTTTCTCCCATTTCATGTGTGCCCTTTCATCCTGTTGACAATTTTCTTTGCTGTTTAGAAGCTTTTTAGTTCGGTATAGTCCCACTTATTTATTTTTGCTTTTTCTACCTGTGCTTTCGGTGTCAGTTCAAATAATCATCACCAGACCAAGGTCAATGAGCTTACCGCCAGTGTTTTCTTCTAAGAGTTTTATGGTTCAGGTTTTACAGTCAAGTCTTTAATCAATTTTGTGTTGATTCTTGTATGCTAAAATAGTGGTCAGGTTTCATTCATTGGCATGTGTCTTTTGGTTTTCCCAATACCATTTATTGAAGAGATTGTCCTATCCACACTGTATATTCTTGGGCCCTTTGTCAGCCTTCTTCATCTGGGTTTTGCACAGCAGCTGTGGGGAGCAAGATTTGAGGCGTTTCTTGGTGTTTCCACTCTGCTTTGAGTTTGCCTTCTTACTGCCTAAAAAACAGATAGTTTCAGAACTAGTGAGACCAGGTCTTATGATAACAGCCTGATTTAACCCTCACTGCAGTCCGGGAAGGAGAAATGCCCGTTGTCCCATTTCACAGATGGAACCGGGATGTGCCCCGCGACACCTCTCCTCATCTGGCCAACCTGGGTCCAGCTGTCATAGGGGTCCCTTTACCCCACTGCTTCCCTGCCTTTACTTCTGTAAACACTTTCTCTGAGGTTGGGAAGGCTCCAGGAAAGACCAGCTAGGAGAGTTAATAAGAAGAGTGAAACTCATCAGTAATTTTGTTCCTGTGCCCAGGCTGGTGGGAAATCACCGGGCAAGGAAAGAAGGTGGACTTTGAACTCAGGCCTGCAATTGCTTGTCAGCCCTGCCCCCCGCTCAGAGTTCACCTCTGGGGACATGAGTGTCCCCCTCTGTAAGATGAGGACGATGACACGCCCTCCCCGCATTATTGGAAGGATAAAAAACAATAGATGGGAAGGTTTTGACAGTGTCACATGCTTGTCATTAGTGGCAATAACCACAGTCATGTTCTTTGTTTATTATGTTCCTTTAAAGCCAAACCCTCTCCCCCCGAGGTATCGGGCCCCACGGGGAGGTCCACACCTGGGCAGACGGTGAACTTCACCTGCAAGTCCCACGGCTTCTCCCCCAGAAACATCATCCTGAAATGGTTCAAAGATGGGAATGAGCTCCGAGCCTCCCAGACCACCGTGGACCCAAAGGGAGACAGCCCTTCCTACAGCATCTCCAGCACAGCCACGGTGGTGCTGGCCCCGGGGGATGTTCGCTCCCAGGTCATCTGCCAGGTGGCCCACGACACCCTAAAGGGAGACACTCTTCTTCGTGGGACTGCCAACTTGTCTGAGATCATCCGAGGTAGATGCCCCTCACACCCAGCGCCAGCCCACACCTGGCCCCTGCCCTCCAGGCCTGCTCCTCCCCCTGCTCTTTGCTCCAGAGTTTGATTTTCCTGGATTCTAATTCCTGACAGTCCTTCCCCTCACCAGGCACCTGGAAGTACCTGTCACTCACACTGTTTAATGGTAGCTGCCAAGTGAACACCTACCACTGTACTTGGTAGTTTCAGCTACTTTACCAGTAGCAATTCCAATAACTGAGCACCTGCTATCAGCCAAGCTCTTATGTGCTTGGTGATTTCATTTATTTTTCTACAGTTACTATGCTCCAACTGCATACCAGGGCTGTGCTTATTGACTTCACTTATGTTATCCTAATAGCAGCTACCAGTCCTTGAACACCTACTGTGTGCAGGGCACTGTGTTTAGTGATTTCATTCATGTGAAAGAGTACCGTCGGTGTCTGAGCACCTGTCCTCTGATACCCCTGCAAGTGGGGGAGCTAAGTTAGGGAGCGCTCCCCTGTGATCTGTCTGTTCCATGAGGTCAGAGCTTCTGCCCTGTGCTGTTTCAGTTCCGCCCACCGTGGAGGTTACCCAACAACACACAGTGTCAAAGAACCAGGTGAACGTCACCTGCCAGGTGAAGAACTTCTACCCCCAGCGCCTACAGCTGACCTGGTTGGAGAATGGAAACACGTCCCGAACAGAAACGGCCTCGACCCGCATAGCGAACAAGGATGGGACCTTCAACTGGAGGAGCTGGATCCCGGTGAACTTATCTGCCCGCAGGGAGGACGTGACGCTCACCTGTCTGGTGGAGCACGATGGGCAGCCAGCAGTCACCAAAAACCTCACCCTGAAGGCCTCTGCTCCTGAGAAGAACCAGAGCACAGAGGGATCCTCTGGTGAGGCCTCCACTCCAACTGACCCAGCTCCATTTAAATTGTATCTTTACTTTTGCTGTTATAAGTAGTGATTCATGCTTATTATAGAATAATCTAGAAGTTTACAGATAGAAAGTAGAATTTTAAAGTGAGATCCCCTCCCCCAAACCCCACACACACTCCATAGTCACCACTGGTAAGAGGTTGGTACATATCTTTATAGATATTTGACACCAATATACATTAAACAAAGAAAGAGCGAGGGAGAGAGATCATCCTGCTCACAGTGTCCTGCCTCTTGCTTTCTTCTCCGAACAGTCACTGTGTTCACCATCCCTGCCAGCCCCTCCCTCCTCCTGGCTCTTTCTAGTCTCCTTCTGGTCTGGTCTCTATTCCATCGTAGACTTTCTTTATCTGGACCTGGTACCCAGGTGACTGTGAGTGGTCACAGCATGGACCCTCTTTGCTCTCTGTTTACGACAGTGAACCAGCAGTAGTCACAGTTGTTCATTGAACATTTCCTACATGCAAATTTCAGTTCCTTTAAGGTCTTTTTTCTTGTCAACCACATTGTTGAGTTTGGAGTTTTACAGAAGGGCCTCAGGGAGCAAAGGAAGGGTGTTGGGAAGACTTCTTGTCATAATACCAGGTGACTGGACTAAACTAATCAAGTAATCTGAATCCTTGTGTACAGGGACCTTGTGTACTAATATGTGCTAATTAGAAACATATTCCCCCTCAGTTGGGCATTGTCCCAAAGATCTACAGAGTCCCCTTTTCTATGAACAGAATATGTCTTATTTCTCTCTCATGTAACATCAGGAGGGGATTAGGTCAGGTTTCTAGAAGTCTTTACTCCAGAAGAGCTTTCAAAGGGCCATGTTCCTCCCAGCAAGTCCTATGGTGTCCTCATCTGCTGGGTCACCAAGTGCCCACGTCCCTGCCTGCTACAAGAGTAAACACAGGAAGGAAAGGACAATTTCCCTAATGAAAGAGATATATAGAAGTTTCATAAATGTGTCCATTAATAATTTAGTTGTGTTTGCACATTCGGCTGCAAGTAAAGTCCGTAATCTTGTGGTCATATGATCAAAGACATTGGTTTTTCTACAAAACCAATACCTTGCACACAATTAAATTAATCGTTAATTCCCTAATATTATCTAAAGTACAGCATGTATTGAAACTTTCCAAATTTCTTTTATAGCTGCTCTTTTGTGCTCCTAAATTGGTTTCAATTAAAATATAAATGCTTGGTAAAAGTTTCCTGTGTAACCATCTGAGCCTCGAAAATTCTTTTTGGGAATTTATTGTAATTCAACCTCCTTAGTAGTTTAGGGCTATTCGTTTCCTATTGGGTGAATTGTGGTAGGTTGTGCTTTTTGAGGAATGTGATCCATTTTTCATAAGTTGTCAAATGTCTGCGTGAAAAGCTGGCCCTGACATTCCCCCATTAGCCGTTTGATGTCTGTGCGATGTGCAGCGGTGCCGTTTCATTCCTGATACTGGAGATGCGTCATGCCCTCTTATCCTTTGTCAGGCTTGCTACAAGTTTCTCATTTCATCAATCTTTTCCAAGAACTCACTTTTTCTTATATTGATTTTTCTCCATTGGTTCTCTATCTTCAATTTCATAGATTTTACTTCTCTGTTCTGTGTGATTTTTTTAAATTCTACTTGCTTTGTGCTGATTTTGTTCCTCCTTCTCTGGTTTTCTGAGGTAGAAAATCAGATTACTGATTTCAGACTTTTTGATTTTCTAAGCCACACTTGAGTTGCCTTCTGTGCCTGGGAGTTAGGAGAGTGCAACCTGCAATGCCTGATCCCCATGTTCACCCTCCAGTCCTCCGGCCCGAGCCAGGGTGCCTTTCTCTTCCACCTCAGAGTCCTCCTATGCTTGTTCCTGGTGTTATCCTAGGGGTCAGAGTTGTGAACAGGCAGAGCAGGACAGGTGAGTCTTGGTCATCTTGTCTGGACCACCTTGGGTCTGCATTTTAGCTTCTGTCTCCTTTTGAGGCTCAGACCAGGGGTGTTATTACCTGTTGCTTTTGGTGTGTCTGACCCGGCACACCTGCTGAGTCCGAAGGCTGGGAATGGTTTTCAGGTTGTCTAGGCTGACAAGCTGGAGCAAAGGGCAAGATGCCTGTGTGACCCTCAGCACTTGGACGCCACAGCCAATCCTAGCATCTGAGGGTTCAGGCCTCTGCAGACCAGGCCTGTTCCAATGGGCTTGGTTTGAGGATGTAAAACATTTTGGTCATGTTTATGGTACTGGGCTGTTTTACAATAATTAGAGATGAATGAACCTCTCCTCTGTCAGTGTAGCAAAATCCACATGTGTTACTGCAGATTTATGCTGAATGGCTGGTTTCAATAGTGGGAGAAATGTTCTGAGTCCTCAAATTTTTCATTCTCTTTTGTCTTTCAGAACCCTCTCTGCCATTTCCTTTTCCCATTAGCACTCAGTTGCCAAACAGCACTTTTCCTCCTTTTCCCTTTTCCCCACAGAAGCTGTGTATTTGAAATTGTGCCTGTACCTTTGATCTCATCTGTCCTTTTAAAATGTTCCTGCCTCCTTGTGTTACTTTCCTAAGGTCCTGAAACAAGTGACCACAGAGTTAGTGCCTTAAAACAACACAGTTTATTATCTTGCAGCTGTAGAGGTCAGAGGTCTACAGCAGGTCGGCAGGACTGGGTTTCCTGTGGAGGCTTTAGGGGAGAATCCCTACCCTTGCTTTTCCAGCCCCTAGAGGCTGCCCTCACCCCTTGGCTAAGGGCCCCACATCGCTCTCAGCTCTGCTTCTGTCATCACATCTCCTTCTCTGCCTCTCCTGCCTCCCTCTTTCACTGAGTGGGATCTTTGTGAGTAGCTTGGCTCCACTAGGAAGATCCAAGATAAAGTTCTCGTTTGAATTCTTAACTTAGTCACTACTAGTTCCTTTTGCCAGGTAAGGTAACATAGTCACAGACTATGGGGATTCTGTGCCAACCTTTCGAACAGGCGTAATTTAAACCTCTCCCTGTGATCTGTGCTCTGATCTGTGGACACTTCATTTCGCCAGGTGGCGGTGGGTTTACTATTGGTGGTGGTGGAATTCCCAAACAGCTCTCAGGCCCCTTGCCAGCTGCCCCTCTCCTTGTGGCTGTGGGACAGCAGCCTCCTGGCAGATTGTGCACTAGGATTTGGTGATTTTTCTGCTTTGATTCTCAGCTATTTTGACTTTTTCTCATTTTCTCTTCAAGTAACACTGAGAGCCAGTTGTGTGCAGGGTTTATTTTCTCTTTTATGTTTTTCTCTGATTTGGAGAGGCCATATTTAGAGGCAAGTTGCTGTGCTGCTGCTACTGTCCTCAGCAGCCCAGAAGGGGGCTGAAGACTGTTGAGTGCTTTGGCCCATAGGCCCCTACCTCAGGGTCCCCTATTTCCCCATCAGGGTCCTATTCTGGCTGAGCAGGCCCATTGAAGTGGAGAATTCAACCTCCTCTGAGGCTCTGTTACTCTAGAATTATGTCCTTGGCCTAAATCTCAACTTTGTATGTTCTCTGGCTCTAGAAGAATACAGTCTGTAATGCTATCAAGAAGTCTGTGGCTCACACTTAACCTTTACCTTGTAATTAATCACTCTTAGCTTTTTTTTGTTTTTCTCCAAATTTATGATGTCCCAGCAACAGCCATCCAATCTTATAGTTCTTATAATTACCATTGCCAACTCTTTTTTAAATTCTTAATGCCCAAGTATTCCCTTCCTCTGTTTATACCATCCCAGTGAAAATTTTAACAATTGCACCACTAGGCTAAGTGGGGCTGAGCCCTGCTCTACCTCCCACCAGTGCTCATGAGTGATCCTGTCTCTAAATTGCATTTCAGAGGGGTTTTTTTTAATTGTGAAAATGTTATAGTTAACAATGTATATACAAGGATATGAATTCTAAGAATCAATAAGGAATAGTCAGGATGTTTTATGGAATCATTTTTTTCCTGACAAAACTGTTTGATGGTGTAATATGATATTTTTCTTTTCATATTTTAATTTTGCATGTTATAAAGAGCACCATCTTTGTAAAAATATTTATGGATTCACCAATTTTACCAAAGCCTTCTCTAAAACTATTTTTTTCCCTTTTACCTAATAGATTTATATATTTTTTAAATTAAGTATAGCTGATATACAGTATTATATTGGTTACATTAATTTCAGGTGCACTGATATAGTGATCCAACATTTTTCTACTTTACAATGTGATTACCCTACTAATTCTAGTAATTATCTGTCACCATGCAAACTTATCACAATATTATGTACTATATTTCCCTTCACCTTTTTCACCCATTCCCTCCACCCACTCCTTTCTGGTAACCTTCCCTTTGGTCTCTGTTTCTATGAGTCTGTTTTTGTTTTGTTTTTTGAATACATATATAAGTGAAATCATATGGCATTTATCTTCCTCTGTGTGACTTATTTCACTTAGCATAATATCCTCTAGATCCATCCAAGCTGTAGAAAATGGCAAGATTTCATTCCTTTTTATTGCTGTGTAATATTCTATTCTATATATATGGCACATCTTCTTAATCCATTAATTTATCCACCAACACCTACGTAGCTTCCATATCTTGGCTATTGTAAATAAAATGCTGCAGTGAACATAGTGATGCATATATGCTTTCAAATTAGTGCTCTTGGGAGGTTTGGGGGGGATAAATACCTAGAAGTGGAATTGCTGGTTCATATGGTATATCTATTTTTAGTTTTTTGAGGACTCTCCGTGTTGTTTTCCATGGGGGCTGCACCAGTTTGTAGTCCCAACAAGTACAAGGATCCCCTTTCACCCACATCCTCTCCAACGTATGTTATTTGCTTACTTTTTGGTAATAGCCATTCCGACTTGGGTGAGTTGGAATCTCATTGTGGTTTTTATTTGTATTTCCCTGATGATTAGTGATATTGAACCTCTTTTCATATGGCTGTTGGCCATCTGTATGTCCTGTTTGGATAAATGTGTTTTTGTGTCTTCTGCCCATTTTTGGATCAGATTTTTAATTCTTTTGTTATTGAGTTGTATGGGTTTCTTATATATTTTGGATATCAATCCCTTGTCAGATATGTCATTTGTGCATATGTTGTCTCAGTCAGTAGGTTGCCTTTTTGTTTTGTTGAAGATTTTCTTTCCTGTGCAGGAGCTTTTTAGTTTGATGTAGTCCCATTTGTCAATTTTTTCTTTTGTTTCCCTTGTTCGAGGAAGGTGTCCAAAAAGATATCACTCAGACTGATGTCAGCTAGTTCACTTCCTATGTTTTCTTCTAAGAGATTCATGGTTTCAGGGCTTATATTTAAGTACTTTACCCATTTTGAGTTTATTTTTGTAGATGGTGTAAGAGAGTGGTCCAGTTTGCTTTCCAGATCACACCCAGTTGAACTCCCATAGGTCAGTTTCCTGGGAAGCAGACTCTAAATGTCTATAAGAATGTAGGGAGCTTACTGGGGGGAGCTGTCAGGGTCCACATGTCTGAGGGCGTGAGAGAGCAGGACTGGCAGAGGGAGCTGCTGACTCACAATGCAGGCACCAGACTTGGCCAACAGAGAAATGGACAGAACAGTCTTTGAGAGCTGTATAAATGGAGGGGAGGGTGCTGAGCCTTTATACTCCAAGTCTAGCCAGTAATTTGATGGGGGCTGCCCGTTAGGAGGAAATGCAAACTTGGCAATGAAACTCTCTTCAATTGACAGAGTGTCCCAAAGAGCCTCTCAGCTGACAACTGCCATCCTTCAACACCCTACAGGAAATATGGCGTGGCGTCCAGTTCTACTTTAAGGATTATTTATTTTTGAGAAACTGTTGTAATATCATTATTTTTTTATTTTAAAAACAAAAACTGCTTGTTGTAAATCTGCAAATCTGTATTTCTGTGTCTAAGAGAAAGATTTCAGCTGACATCAGGACTGGGTTCAGGGTGGGCTGGATGGTGGTGTTTGAGTCTCTCCCAAGCTTGTGACCCCATTTCCTTGACTTACCAGGGATTTTTTGAGCCAGCAGGTCTGCTGAGGTCAGGCCACTGTGAGTTCTCCCTCAGCTCCTGAGAACATGAGGTCACCCAGCCTTGTCTGTGGCTCCAACCAGGTCTGCCCTGCGACTCTCTCACTGTGAAGATTGTCTCTGCTCCTCTCCAATGCCCTGTTCACTTTCATTGCTATGACTCTGTGGGGTTGGACTTGTCCTTATCAATAAAGAAAAGTCTCAGTGTCATTCTATGGAAGAAAATGTATTTCTTTAGGTTTGAATTCTGTTAATCTGTACCCCTCCTAACTCTCTGAGCCTCAGTTTCCTCATCAGAATGAAGATAATACTACCTGCCCCACAGGGGTGTGAGGACCAAGTCGGTAAGCCAGGTGCCACACTTACGGGTCCCTGACTGCACACTCTGTCCACTCCCTCCCTCAAAGACGACAACTCTGGCAGCCTGCTGGCGGGGTGAATGCGGATGAAGAACCTCTTTACCCTGGTTTCTGCCCCAAGTGCGAGCCCACAGGAAGCTTCGGAGCTTCAGAGGGTTCGTGGGTGCAGGTAGCCTCGGATGGAGTGAGCGAAGGACCCTGGGAAGGGTCTCCTCTAATGGCCCCTCCTGCCCCTTGATTTGCAGGCCCGGTACTATCCATTCAACTCCTCGCAGCTGTCCTCCTAAGCTTCAAGGTGCTGCTGGCGGTTGGTGCCTCTGCCATCTACGTCCACAGGAAGCGGACGGCCTGACTGTAAGTTGTGGGGCAGGGAGGGCAAGGCAAAGTCTGTCCCAGAAGGGACAAGGTCAAGAGGAGCGGTCAGTCCACAGGGTCAGGGCCCCGGTGGAACTTAGACAAGGTGACGCACCTCTATGAATACTCCCAGGAAATTTTTGGGGTCCTGTTTGGGGCGGCTGACCCAGTGGTTTTTGAAGGGTATCAACAGAGTCCTAGGGCTTCTGTGGAAGAAGTCTGCAGAGGGAGCTGAATGAGGCAGCTGAGTGGGTGGTTTCCTTGGAGACCATCTCTAGATTATGTGATTATGGGGGCTCCTTGGGAAAAAGGAATCCACATTTACAGTAATGTTGAGAAGTCCCAGGTCAGCTGCTCTGATGGCTACTCCCAGCCTAACCCTCTGCGTAACAGAGTGGAAAGGATGGGGGAGGATCGGGACCTGGGGGTAGGACTAAAGGGGCAGAGGCCTAGGCCAGGGGCTGCATGCCCTCTCATGACGGGCATTCCTGGAGGGAGACAGCCCAGGACATAGGAGACATGCAGGGAACTTTTCTTGAAGGATGAGCAGATAATTAAACGTGGACACGTTTCCCACAGCTCCTTCTTTTCTCCCCTGTTACATGTCCCTCTCAGTTTCTGCTCCCTCCTTCTTTCCATGAGTGACCCAGACAAAGAAAAAAGTTGACTAGAAGCTTCTACAGACTCTGCTCCAAATGCCTCCCCCGACCCAGACCTGCTGCCCACAGGCTTCTGCTCCCCCTCACAGTCCTTGACGCCCAGGGCTGGGTCTTCATACAAGCTCCTCTCAGAAACACACACAGAATCCCAAATTATCAGCTGTGCCATCATCCCGGACACATGATGGAAAGGTGATAGGAGGGGGAAATGGGTGCTGGGAACGGAGGGCATTGGAGAGACCGTGACGTTAAGTGCAATCGGGCCTTTACCAGTCCCCATTGACCTAGTAGTTGGAGGAGAGAAAGCAATACTAGGACCACGTTCCACAGTTTGATACAGTATCTTAGCCACGTTAACCTTGCCATTGGTTTAATCACGGATGTGCTTTTTTAAAAAATCTTTTTGGCTGCTCTTTAAGGATGCTCTGTAGCTCAGGTACAGTACTTCCACATAAGTTGAGAATTCCTAAAATAGTTCAGCTGGGAGCTGGGGCATGAGGCAGCCCTGTGTTCTGGCTGTACCACTCTGAGGTTTTTCTGGTCGAGCTCAAGGGGGAAGAGGCAAGAGGATCTTCACTCAAATACCACACACTGTCACTTCTCATGTCTACTTTAGTAGATTTTCTTAGTAAGTTTCCTCCCAGGAACACACACACACACAGAATTCCAAATTACCAATGTTTAGGATTATTTAGAGAGATTTTAAGTAATTTTTCATAATAGATAATATATCTTGATTGATTTAAAAAATGAATTATTTTCTCTCTGGTTTTCCTGGTATTAAAATACTCTTACTTCTGTGCAGTGGTATTTACATTAGCTGGTAGGTGATTTGAAAATTATTTTTCTTGAAAAAATATGGTATATAATTGTTTTTCAAAAATTTTGTTTACCTACTAAGTGTAGAATCTCTGGACCAGATGATCCATTAAAGATCACACAGCCCTGTGATCCATCAGAGACTGAACCAGATGTGTACAAAGTCCTTTAGATGAATCTCAGTGGAGATGTTGCCCTCTCGAGTCCTGTAGGCAGAGACAGCTGGGTTCAGATACTGGAAAACACATACCAGCTCTGTGACCTTGGGCAACCCACTAACACTCTCTGAGCCAACTTCCTCATCTCTAAAATGGGAATCCAGCTACCTCAAAAACTTGTGGGAGCTTTAAGGAGAAAGCAATGTATGAAGCACACAGGGTCTGGAGCAAGGTTGTGTATGATATGGTCCCTTTTCTTTCTTGGTTTATTGAGGAACTTATACCATCTGTGTTTTGCCAGCACTATGAAGTAATGACGTTGAAAGCTTTTCCAAATATATCAAGATATATTAATTGAGTATCTATTATGAAAAACTACTTAAAATCTCTGTAAATAATCCTAAACACTGGTAATTTGGAATTCATGCCTGGCTGCCTGAAGATGTGGTCACACTTTTCTGGGGAAAATTTCCCCACTTGTAGGCTGGCACCTGGATGCAAGAATCTCTTTGAGGACAGCAAGATCAACATTCGCTTCAAAGTTGGGCACACACTTCCTAGCATGAGGGGAAACTGGAACAAATCCTAATGCAACTGAAAGCCAGCTCTATCACTGAAACTAGAGCTAATATTTTGTTTCTTTTCCTTTCAGGCGATAACAGCAAGCCTCCTCACAGTGCCTATGGACCGCCCAGTCAGACTTGTCCCAGAGGCTTACAGCCAATTAATGAACTCCCACTAACCCCAACAGATGGCTGCAACCAAAATCTGCCCTTAGCCAGAAACCGTGTGCAGATCCAGTCCTCTCAGGCAGTATTCAGAAGCGATGGGGCCCAGGAATTTCCGTTTGGCCAGGCACCTAGATCCCACCCAACCAGACCCTACCCACTTAGAATGCCTTTATACCTTCTCTCACCCTTCCCATTCCTTACCTTCGATGACTTAGTTTCAAGGTTGTCCAATCAAGACTCCCAATTAGAATTAATAAATATATATAGTTTCTCCTTTCCATTAAATTTGCTCTAAGTCTTTATTCCAGGGTGTGGGAGAGACAGATCTGAGCCCTGTCTCTGGTCTCCTGGTTGGGCAGCTGGACGAGTAAATCTTTTCTCTATGAAACCCTGTTGCATCAGACTTTGGCTTCTCTGTGAGCCTTGGGTATCAAACTTAGTGACTTTGTTGGCTACATAATGACTTGAGAAAAATAAGGTGTTTTTCTTCAAATTCCTTTAGACCAGTTTGGTTCAAGACAGTGACTTAGGAGGTACCTGAACTCACCTTTGCCCAAAGACTTGCTGAAACTACAGCTGCTAACAGAACAATTCCCTGAGAAAGAAATCCAGAAACTAGCTGAATGACTCCCAGACATTGGACACACAAGAAAACAACAACACATCTAATCAAATAAAAAAGATGAGACACAATCTCAGGCTATTACCTGACACAATCTCCACATAAACTCCAAACCCAGCATAGTGACATAGTGACACACAATCGGGAGAGACTCACAACTCCCAGCTTCCCCCCGAGGAGCGGGATTTGGACCCAACATCGAGCACCCCAAATATTAAACTTCCCCATGAGAGATGAGCCTCCAAATCAAGTATCTCTAGCCCTTGCTTACTTTTGACCTCTTCTGGAACTCCTATGATGCAAATATTGTTACATTTCATGTTGTCCCACAGCTTCTATAGACTGTCCTGTTTTTTAATTGTTTTTTCTCTGATTGAGTGATTTTTTTTCCTACTCTGTTTTCTAATTTGCTGATCCAATCCTCAGCTTCCTCTAATCTGCTGTTTTTTCCTTCCAGTGTGTTCTTTATTTCTGCTATGTCTTTCTTCATTTCTGAGTGGTCATTTTTCATACTTTCCATATCTTTTTTCATGCTGTTGAGCATCCTTACAATCAGTATTCTGAACTCTATATCTGAGAGATTGCTTATCTCCATTTCATTTAGCTCTTTTTATGGAGACTTCACTTGTTCTTTCATTTGGGGTTTGTTTTTTGTCTCCCCATTTTGGCTGCCTATTTGGGTTTACTTCTATGTATTAGGTAGGCCTGCTAGGACCCTCAGTCTTTTTGGAAGGTCTCTGGAGGAGGCCAATGTCAGATGCTGTTAGTGACTGGCCTTGAGTACCCTGTGTGGAGCTATCAACAAGCCACAGCTTCAGGTCCCCTCTGTTGGGACTGGGTGCATTTGGACAGGACCAGGATGCACACCAAAGTCTGCTTTTCCAAGGCCCAGGTCCAGAAGCAAATGAGGCAGAAACTCAAAACACTCTGAGGTCTGCCTCTGCCTGCAGGCTGATTAATCTGATTCTCTTAATGAGCCTCAGGCTGTAGAAGCTCCACAGGGTGGGGCCGCTGATTGTTATCAGCCTCTTAATGAGCCTCAGGCTGTAGAAACTCCACAAGGAGAGGTTTTCCAGCAGGGTGGGGCAATTGCTTCCTCCTCAAGCAAAAGCTGCTTGGAAGGTAAATGTCTGCCTGTGAAAGATGCCCTCTGCAGTATGGGGGAATAAGTCGGCACAGGAATCCAGAGAGGTGCCCTTTGAGCTCTATTTCCAGAGCCCACAACCCTACTAGATTCTCCTCACACAACTCCAGTCCACTCTGCCCTCCCTCTGCTGGAGCCCAAGGTGAGTGGCTACACATGAAACTTTGTGTGTTGGCTCTTTAAAAGGGTGCCTTCATTTCTAGCCATCTCTCCCTGGCAATCAGAAACCTGTCTGCTTTTCACAGCCAGATGTTCTGTGGGCACCTTTCTCAGTTCTGGTGCTCTGGGCTAGGGAGCCCTGCCAGGGGTTTAGGCCACAGAGTCCTCAGTGGGAACCCCCACAGCTGAGATCTCCCTCCGGACCTTCAGCTGCTGCCTGTGGGAGCCCACCCAGTCCTCTCGTGCCTCCGCACTTCCTACCTGTCTCTATGCGGTCTCCCCTTTTCCTCCTTGGTTATGAGGGTGCTCTCCAGCTCGTCTTCAGTTGCAGTTGATTATTCAGGATGGTTTTCTATATTTTAATTGTAATTCCAGTTTGGTCCAGGGAGAATGTCAGTGTAGCTTCCACTCAGTCCGCCGCCTTGTTTAATCTCCAGAGCCTTAACTCTTCTCTTTTTTTTTAATTCTCACGCCAGGATATATTTTCCCATTGCTTTTCAGAGAGAGTGGAAGGGGGAAAGAGAGAGAGTGAGAGAAAGAGATAGATAATTGATAGATGATAGATAGATAGATGATAGATAGATAGATAGATAGATAGATAGATAGATAGATAGATAGATAAGAGATAGAGAGAAACATCAATGTGAAAGAGACACATCAATTGGTTGCCTCCTGCACGCACACCAACCAGGGCAGGGATCAAGCC